TTCAAAACATATCCATGAACTTCTTTGTTATTCTTTGTGGCTAAAGAGGCATTGCATTCCCATCTTGTATTGAAACAGCATTAAATGCCGATTGTGTTTCTTGTCACGTGCCAACACTATAAGGGATTAGAGTATACTAAACTTTGTACATTATATACTCTATATTAATGTGACGTTTAGGCGGTTCATTTAACTTTTATATGGGATGAACGTTTTTTTTGGGGGGGGGGGGTTAATGAAAGTGTTCCAAAATGCGACAGTAATTTCTTGATGACCTAATACTTTGAATGTTATGTATGAAAACATGTACATTACACTCACTTGTTTCTTCTATATTAGCTTTGAAGTTGAGATTTTTAATTGTGAGTGCATCACATGACATCAAGACTGAAGTTTTATTGTTTTATTTTGAAATAAAGGAATAAAAACTTAGATTATATACAACTTTGAAGTATAACATATTTGATAATAATAATTTCATTGAAATAAATTGATAGTAAAGTGGTTTAATTAAATTTTGAATGTAACTTGGTAACATGCACAGAAAGGGTTTAAAAATGGCATAGCTGTCATAGGGTTAAAAGTGTATACTAATTTGCTTTCACAAAAAGCCACTTCATACTAAAATTAAACTAATGTATGGATTTAAAAAGATTTAATTGATCTTGCATGTTTTTCCAACTGTGGTATTCTGTTGTCAGAGATGTCAGTTTAGTGTGAACCAACATATTTTATAAAATTAATCCAACTACATTAAAAGGTGTAAACAAAATCATATCAATGAAAAATAAGTCTCTTACTAATGAATTTAATTCTGGTCATTTTATTAAATTTACTGTGTGATTTTTACTTTTTAATATTTCTGTGTTTGAAATTATTAGGCTATGCCAAAATTTTAGCACTAATTCAATTAATACTATGATTTTCTTGTATCATTTTCTTTAATCATTTTTCTTTTTTTACAGTGACTTTTTTGTTCTTCTATTCTTACTTCAAATTTTTTCTGTCCAACATACAGTTTATCACAATTATAAGATGTTTTGTAAATGTCCTGTTTTTCTTTTAATTTTATATTTTATTATATCTTCTATAGGATTTATTGTGTAGTGTATTTTTAGATTTTAATGTTATTGCCACCCCTTTTAAGTAAATTACAGATCTTATTAAATACTCTGGTATGATAAGTTAAACATGTTTTATGTTTCCTTTTTTAATTTTCTGTTTAGTTATTTGATTTTTAATTGTGAAATAAAATTGTTTATCATGTTAATTTCACATTTCAAATCAATGCAGTATTTCTCAAAAAACTCAATTTTTTGGGCAATATATACACCTGGAAAAAAGTTAAGCACCCCCGTGTTTTTTTCAAGTGATTCAGATTCGACGTTTTT